TTCGAATGTGCATGTGACAGCTGATTCAAGAATTCTTTGCTAATACTAAATGAAATAGTGAGGTTGCCCTACAGCAAGTTGTTCGTAGGTACTGTTAAAGTAAAAGTAATTATTAACTTCTTTTTAAGAAAGCCAAATATGATATGCAAATAGGCAAAAACGTTAAGACATACATTATATTTGATATTAATTATATGTGTATACAGTGAAATGAAGAGTTTCTTCTATAAGTAGTGTATATTTACGCAAAGTAGGACACATTTAAATAAAAATAGGACAAATTTAAGTGTTTCAACCATGAAATATATAAGATAAGAATGGTCTAACAATTAAAAAGGTTGAAAAATAAAATAAACTTTATCAATATATTTTGTGTTTTGCAACGTTAAAAATGTTTTATTTAAATTGCAAGTAGTACACCTACTTGCGTTAACTTAATATTTATTTGTAGGAGCCTTTTAGTTATGTATCTATAGTATATACATACATATTTAATAAAACTTATATTTCTCTCTCACCATATTATTTAGTTTAAATACAAGATAAACAAAATATTTATATTAGGAGCAAACTATATTGACAAAGAATAGCGTCGTAACTGTAGACGCTAAAATATGAAAAAAGTATAAGTACTTTTATATATATAATGTTGCTATTAAATGATGTACGAAGTAATTCAAATGTAAATACCGAATTAGAATCAGCCGTTAAGCGAGTTTTCCATAAATTTTAATGCGGCGGTCACCGTTTGAGAACAAAAGCATTGGAGGTGCCTTCTTATTAGTGGTAGTATGGTATATTTTGATCTACCTTCATTTCATACGTACGAACTCGCATAACCATTTTATTCTATTTGAATAAAACACTTTAAAACGCGATATATATTAGTTCAGCTTATTTGAAAATTATTTTAAATATGGCCCGTCGTTTCGGATACTTTGCAGCAGCCGTGATCACGAGAGACTTTAGATGTCAAAGTCAAAACTGTTAAAATTAGTTTAACTAATATATTGCAATATAAACCGTGAAATGTGTACTACTCGCATAAAGAGAAATTAATACATGTACATAGTTTACATAAACTCGAATACTTTGCATAATATGCAAAGTATTAAATTAACGTGTTTTTGATAAAATATGTTTCAAAAGCACAGAGGATTTTATGAACAGTGGTACAAATACAAATATTTTTTATTGTCACAAAACAAAACAATAAATAAAAATTGACAGAAATTAAGGACAAACGGCGGGTTTTTAGCTAAATAGTTGTATAATATGAAATAAATATAGTAACTGAAATATTTTCTACAAAAAAGATGCTCCGTGCGTTTATTGTCCACTTTTGTATATAAATGTATTGAAAAAAAAAGCTTTGAACTGGTCGTAATGTGCGTGATTGTGCATTTTGATTCGATGTTATGTGTCTACATCTCGCTGTTAATGTTTATTGCGATTTTTTCTCGCCGCGATGCTATCGTAAGTATCGAATCGATAAATATGCCGGCTCATTAGAATTTGCATTTTAATTATCATCAGAGATAAAAAGGAAAATGCCAGAGCGCAATTTTTATATGCCGAGCCCTATTTTGATAATATTATGGTCTATGTAGGAGACGTCTACTAGTAAAGCTTATAATTTCACGCACGAAGTGTTCCACATTATTAGGTACATACATTATAACCTCTTTTACAATTTATATTGAATAAAAATAGGCTACACAGAATATTTGTTACTAGACTACCCCCCCCCTTAAAATAATTTATTTATTTTGGGCCTAAGAAACTTTTAGTGATAATTTCTACCTCTCTTTCTGACCTATCGCTTTTCGGTACAGACTGTGAAAGACGGCGAAATTTTAATAACAGGTTATCTTTTTAACCCTTTTGGTACCGAATTAAAAAAAAAGTATTTACTTGCCTCTTTATTAATAGGAAAAAACTTTGTCTAAAATTATAACGTCAATTTACTGTAATTAGTTACTCATACATATTTTATTTACCTTAAAACTACGGCTTCACGTAAAGTTCGCGATTTCTTAAATTATTTTTGAATATACGTAGAGTTATAATATTCAATGCATATAATAATAATGTGGACTCCTAAATTTAATTGAGTCTAGACGAAATAAACTACATCAGTACTTACTTAAACTAGACAGGTAAATCAATTTATTTCGCTAACCTTTGATAACAATTATATGTACTTGTATGTTGAAATATCGCAATAATGTTGTAGTAATTATATTTTTTGTCGCTTCGTATTAATAGGTCATAATTAATTGGTACAGAAAGTGATTATACGATTAAAATACAATTATTGTCAGATGCCAGGTAAAAGGTGGGAGATAATGTTTTCCTTTTTTTTGTATTTAAAAAAAGCAAACAAAAAAGTAGGTGACATGTTAGCTGTTATTACTAAAGTGATAAAAACAAAGAGACATTTGTAATATTTACTTTCTCTAAGAAACATTTTACAACAACTGGTTTAAAACTGTCTATAGTTTACGCGAGTAGTACACATTTAAATAAAACACTTTAACGGTTTAAAACGCGATACATTAGTTAAATGTGACCACGAATTCTTTGCAGCAGCCGTGGTCATGTGTCTCCTCGTGACTATGGCTGCCGCAAAGTGTCCGAAACGTCGGACCGAAGTTAAAAATCATTTTCTAATAAATTTAACTAATAAATCGCGTTTAAAACCGTTAAAATGTTTTAAATAAATAACTGGTTTTTGAATGTACCATAGATTATGTTACCCACATTATAGCGAAAGTGCAATCTGTTTAAAAATAGTTTCGCGCGTAATTCGGTTATCTCGAAACATGGAGAGGGCAAACGATTACGCGAAGGTAATTAAAACTAAATTCGGTATTAGACGTGGAGAATCACGTGCTAATTGCGCAGGGCTGGCACCAGCGACGCGAGCTTGACAAACGACTTTGATCAATCACACCGTCCTCCGTGGGTAGCCCTGGCCGCGGCTGCGACGCGATTTATTTGTGCCAACCCTACCTCGAGGCGTTTGTCACACACTGTCGATGTATATGATTTTCAATTGGACACAAACATGCTTTACCTAGCAACGTCACTAACAAAAAGAAGCATTTTAAAAAAAGAAAACCAAACTAAGAAGGGACCCCGATTGTTAATCGTAAAAAAAACACCAGATGTCAAAATTGACAACATATTAAATTCGTTTTAATTTCCCGCGTTTTTTAGACATCTTCCTTTACCTTCTGTACGTATCCATCCAGGTAAAGAATCTTTTATCAAACTTGATGTGCGTTTTGTGAAATTATATGTCCAGTGCAAGATAAGGTTTCAGGATTACGATATGAAGACAGGACCAACACACACCATTTATTTATATACATTTGAAATGATGATTTAGGTGGTTATATATTGTTAACACGTCAAGTTTTATTTGCCTTCCACGATATTTCATTAACATTGCTATTTCGAACTAGTCTTCGAATAGCTAAAATTAAATATACCATTTCCAATATTCGTTTAACAATCAAACTTTTAAATTCAAATGCTTTGCTTTATTTGCCATTCTTTCAATTACTGGTTTCATTATAAACTAAAGGTATGATCAAATTTAATCTATCTTCATCGCCGACTAAAAAGTCCCTTAGGAGTGGAGTCCAGAAAAATCGAATTCTAACCAATGGGTGTTTAATATTTGCACAGATAGATGATGTAGTGGAGGTAACATTTTTACTTTGAGCGCGTTTAAATAGATAGCTTGGTTGAAAATACCAACGAGCGCCCGTGAAATGTATTGAAAGGTTTGAAAATATATTTCTATTAATAAAAAATAATGTAATTAATTTTAAAGATACTTCTGGCTCCCGAGCGTTTGAAAAGAAACAAATTGATACATACAGCCATCGAATAGGATCCGTGAAAAAGTACCGACCGGTTAATGAAAAAACTACGCAGTCAATATTTGATGAGAGCCAATTTAAATGTTCGTCCACTTGTAGACATCGCATAGTTCAGTCTGTATCGCGTATGTGGGGGGGCAACACCCGCCGAATTTCCGAAAAAAAGAAAAACGAAGAAAAATAAACATGGCCGCCTCCGTGCGCGGGAAAAAATGCAGATATAATGCCAGTAATAATAATAATAATAGGCGATCGGTCCACTGGCCCGCTCCGCCCGCCCCCACCCAATTTTCATTCAAATGTGCCTGCGTTTTTTTAAACTATTTTTATATTTCGAATATTTTTTCGGCGTTCACTATTCGAATGTCGGACGATCGTGTCGGGTTTCCCGCGCTTTTCAGATTATCTGTTTAGAACGTCAAATGTTTTGAAATAAACTTTTATAGCGCGCGGTTCGCCCAGTTGCAGGATTCTTTTCATGTCAAGGGTGTGTTTTTGTGCTAGAGACAGGTGTTTGATCGCCACGCCTCGTGCGTTGAAAATACAGAACCCATGTTACTATTTTATTGCACTTACTACGACGTTACGTTAATAAAAGTTTTTGTAAAAAAGTCTAAAGAAGCGCAGTGCACATACAGAAGGAAGGTTAAAAGCGAATGTATAGAATACTATTAGTTTTATTTTAAGTATTTACTTTAATTTAGCAGAATATATGTCCGATATAAAATCACTATATTTTCCCAATTGTAAATCATAGCCTAATCTCAAAATATATTGTCCGTAACTGAAGTAAGTTTTCATTTTCGCTCCGTTAAAACAGCTTCGAACATTCCGAGAGTTGCGAAGTAGGCTTAACAATTTCATGGTCTACCGCGAATATAACAAGTCTTACAAACGAAATTCAAATGCGTATACCACAGATTATATTAAAATGGTGTGCTGGTGGCTAAATAAGTGTTAACGCGTCATCCTAAAAAAAGTCTAAGCACGTATACCACACGACAATGCAACATGACATTCAATTTAAACTTGGACGTCGGACGCGTTCAATAATTAACATAATGTACTTTTTCTACTTTTTGCACATCTCGTTTGACACTCCATCACTCATGGAAATTCCATTTTCAATGCCGCTATGAGGGTAGGGGTGGGGTGCAGCGGTCTTTGCATCCGCGCGATGGACATGGCGGTTTCGGGTGGTGCGGGGTGGTCGAAAAAAAGATTGTTAAAAAGGCAGGCCCCCGCTACGGCGGTGTGTGAGTGCGTGCGGGTAAAAAAGCGCTTACTAATCGATACTATAGGTTCTGAGGCAAGTAGGTTGCGCCGATTGGTCGGAGGACGAGCGGAATTTTTTACCAGGGCTCTAACGAAGCGGCCGGTGTTTAGTCTTTGAAGACCTTCACACACAAAAAGAACAGTTTTTGGCCTTACCCTGGATATTCGAAAGAAGGCCAAGAACTGAATCTCTATTCATACTAGGCATACTATACAACTAACTAATAATGTAATAACTTTGAGTTATGTTTCAAACTAATAAATGTAATTTGAATATGTAAAATACTTTATTAAAAATTGCTCACTGTATTTATGTAATATATATTGATACATTTTAAGCTACTTATTGTAAATACTGTGTTAACAAGTAGCTATAGAAAATTATTAGGGAAAAAAAGTATAGGAAAATGTTAAAACTGTAGTATATCTTACTTATAAAAATATTAATTAAAAATATTTCATACATAATTTTAACATAAAATAAGTAATCATTGATCTAATATTCTTGCGTTAATTATAATAAAACAATAGGGATTATCCTATTGTCAATTGTCAAACTAACCAGTCTATATTAGGCAAGGTATAGTCTATAGATTCTGAAGCAAGTTACGATTGGCCGGAGGACGGGCGCTTCGGAATTTTTTCCGAGCCCTCTAACGAAGCGGTCGGTGTTTAGTCTTTGGACGCAATCGGACCTTTTGAACGCGGATGTGTCGTCTTTTTAGCGTTGCGAGCCTAACTCGACGGTCAACACTTGAAAATTAAGCGCGCTTATTCGCACTTAACTCTGTCCTTTCTGCTTCAATTTCTACGGCCACGCGCGTTAAAGACAAAAAGGCCTTCTTTTGGGTAGCATATTTAGCGCTGCAAATATGCTATCTAAAAGAAGGTTTTTTTGTCGCTTTCGTTTGCTAACCTTCAATTAAATGTTGATGTAACGATACACAAACCTTTAATATAACTTTATTTAATATAATTTAATATATTTATTATATTAAAATTTGTGGCAGTTACCATTAACTAAATAAATAAACTATTTTGTGTAAACATCTTACAAATTAAAAATTAAACTTATATAAAACGGAAGTTAAAAATTTTCAAAAGTCTGAAATTATTTTTTTCTCAAGCAATGTAATGTATATGTCAAGTATATTTTTATAAGTAAAATATTTATAAAAAATAATGAACACTAAAGGGAGTTGAATCCACTGTTCCAAAAAACTTATTAACATACACACGTAATTATATATTTGTTAAATAAAACATTTTAACGTTTTTAAACGTGAAAAATATTAGTTAAATTTAATTAGAAAATTACTTTTACTACGCGTGACGAAGTACTTTTTTACTAATACTGTTTCAAATATAAAACATTATGTACAAAACATAACTTGATGAATTGTCGTGTGTAGGCAGTGTGTTTTTTAAAGTTATTCTAATCCAAGTGAAGAGATGCTTCTCAACAGCATAGCGCTTATTAAAATATTTCCCACAAAAGCGTGTGCCACTAAGGGCGGTAACACAAAAGTGTACTAAGTAGATAGTGTTGAGTATTGGGTTAAGTGTTACCTCATTCTTAAGGTTGATGGGCTCTTGCTGAGGTCGGGACGGAGAGTGGCGCCCCCCCTCTGCACTTTCCAACATATCAGCCTCGCATCCCGATTCGTCTGAAACAAAAACATTCTGATAAGCACAATATAATGACCATTGTCTTGGTTTAAGATTGCACTAATAATATTATTGGTGGTATTGGTTTAATTTCCGAAAATTTCAGATGAGACATTGATTTATACACAAATTAAAGAAGAAAATAAGTACCAAATGCTATTCATTTATTTAGCAACGTAATATTACCATCAGTCATGCTACATCAAATTTACTAATAAACACAATTGTAATCTCACAATTAAAACTCATATTTCGTGAAGTTCTCATTTTATGACTTAAATAGAAAAAAGTGAATATTAAAAAGTTATTACGTTGCTTTTGGATGTGATACAAAAAATATTATTTTTGTCACTGAATTACTACTAAATACTAAGTGTAAACTAGTTGCATTAGAAGCAAAAACAAGGTACTCCATTTTGCAGGTCTTAGAAGAATTATTGGCTTTCTTGGGTGTTTAATGGAGATAATATGTCTCCTAAAATGTATAGGCAATGACGAAAAATTATATCTATCTACGTAACACAGACTATTCAAATATAGCCAAAAATGCCTTTTGCCTTTTTAGATAAGACTTAGTTACTTAAAAAAAGCTTGAAATTTAGTAATTATACATAATGCAACGAATAATAACATACTTTCTTTACTTATATACTTAGATATTGTCAAATTTATATGGTATTTTGTAGGATCGATCTAAGAAAACCTATGTACCAAAAATGTATATAGCGTATGATTTATGCAAAGTTAGCAGGGTTGGAGCCTGAGGGTTGTCTTACACAGTTGCGAATTTACAATGCATTGACCGTAGTACGATCTAGCTACGGTCAATATTATTAACATATATAACATTTACAATAGGCTAACCTACAAACAAATAGTCGAAGGACACGTTACTTTACTTAAGACATTTATCTTATTAATTGTTATGCGAACATGTTTGAAATAATGTTTTTCTATCGAAAATTGTTTTTTAATATTTTTTTTATATTTCACTTACTCTCTCTTATAGCTTCACTAAAATTCTCTGAAAACCCATATTTTACCCAAAACAAAAAAATATGTTTGAAAACTTTAATTATTTAAAAAGAAATGGTAAGAGCAACGGAACGCTATGGATGCCTGTTTAAGTCCTGTCCGGGTCATACATTTTTTCAATTAATAAACGATTTTTAAAACCAATATTACTATTTTTTCATCCAATAGAAACATATATAATAAGTAAAAGATGCGATTAGATGAACAGTTAAAAATATCTATAGTCAATAATATTATAACATTATTTTTTACAATTTAACAAGTGTCTGTCTATTAGTGTAAAAATATATAGTGTATAACGTTACAGTACTCATTTAACATTACTATAATATCATAGAATATAGTTATAATTCATCCATTAAACATAAAATAAAAAACCAATATAAGATAGATATTACGTACGATAAAAGTAGAATGTTACGCAAAAAGCAAGTATCGAACAAGCCTCAAGTGTCGACATACAAGTTCTCGTATAATCGAATAAAACAAACACGCGGCAGACGGCTACGTACAACTTGCGAGACAAACACAAAGCCACAAAAGAACTAAGCCTGGGCCTGACCCACCTCAACGCGTACCAACAAATAGGTCAAGATCCGCCCGAGTCGGCAGTCGGAAGGAAAATTCCCTCTTTATTTACCTGTGGGGAGGCAAACGCTTGGAAAATCAACGCGGTTTTCGTGTGGGTTTCGCCCCGTTTGAAATACGACGCTTTGTGTGTTTTTTTAACGTTAAGTCACAGATTATAAATTAGAAATGTGATTGTTGACGAAATATATACATCTATAGATAAATAAACCTTGCATTTATTGCCCTGCTAAACTTTAGAAATCGATAGTAATGTATGCTTTTGATATATTATTCAAGAATGGCGACAAAATCACCAAAAAGCCTTACGTTAGTGTTGAGTTGGCTATTTTTGTATTATGTAGTCACTGATTATTAAAGTTTTGTTTGCTTGGATTGTTGGTGCGAAAAAAAATATAGCACAGATAATTTAAGCTTAAAATTATTACTTAACTGTATCTAATCTAAATATATTTGTTTTAGATTTATTGAAAATATTGATACCGTCCGACTCATGAGAGTTAGTTTAATGTTGAGTTATCGACACGAAAACCTTCAATTAATTTGTAATTTTTATCTTTACTTAATTGTATAAGAATATCGTAAATTGTATTACTTTTATGTTGCTATCGATATTGTTCGAAGGTATATCAAATAACAACTAGAATTTAAATTTCTCAATAAATTGTTTCTGTGAACTATACCTCTGTTAAACTGAATTGGTAAAACTCAGTAACAGACAGTTATTTAAAAATTAAAAATAAATTGAAAAAAAATTCGACTCGGGCAGGACTTGAACCGGCATCGTCAGCGTTCCGTGCTGTTGCTCTTTTTCTCTCACATTTTTTCAATTTATTTTCGATTTTTAAATTATATAGTGCCTTCATATGCAATAACATGAAAAAATAATAAAGTTTTCAAACGAACAGTAGTTTACTTCTTGAAGTAAATGATATTTTAATTTAATGACGAAAAGTATCGCTATAAACAAACTATCGAAATAAATCATAATATTTCTTAAATTAATTTCTACCTCTTCAGCCTGAAACATCATCAAATGAATACTATTTATATGTAATGATTTCTCGTGAAACCATTAGGGTATGCCCACTAGCAGTAGTACTAGGAATGAATTAGCCTGGCTAGATAATGTCGGAGCTTTTATTTACATCGAACTCCGATATTTAGACGAGCTTTAGCTGGAAACACTTTATTTAATCCGCAAATTGTATAGATTTATCGATTTCTAATATTGTAAGTATTTACTGCTCGAGATTCCAGCTGGAATGAAATCAGGAATACTCCAGACTGCGTCAGAGGGCAATTATTCAAAATAATAGTTGGTATAATACCAGTTTAAAGGAATTATGAATTATTATATTATCTTTTTTAAATGTACAGTGACTGAATTGGACCGCATTTTACTACCATCAGTCTTTTATTAATTTATTTTTTATCTTTATTAACTCGTTCTACTTCTACTTAAAAATAATTGTCTAGTGTTTTAACGTATAAAGTTGAAGTTCGTACATAAAAAAGTTTGGAACAGGAATAATTCGTATTTTTAGCTTTGCTTAAGAGTATCGTTTTCTGCATACTTGAGGGACCATCAATTGTTCTGCAGTTGTATTAGAATAGCTATAGCAGTAGCGACACATTTTAGGTAATCTTTCAAGACTGTTATAAGTATTAAGTCAATGTGTATGTGTGAAAAAGAGTGTGGTTTCGAAGCCTTATTCTGTTTGTTAATTATGTTATTTGCTATAGATTATACACCAACAGATTTTATATTAAGCGGCCTGTGACATAAAAACTCGGTCGAATGACACACAGTAATAAAGTCCGCACCCGTAAGATCGCTGGTTATGGGTCAGGATAACTCGATCACCCAATGTCCTATAAACGTATCGAATGCAACAAAAACAAACAACAAAACGCTGTATCTTACCACTCCAATCAACTCTGGCTCGGGCAAGCAAAACTGAGCCTTAACGACCTTACAAACTAAGACACTACCAATCATTGTTCTGCAAATAGCTGCCCGGCCTAAGCAATACGAACTGATGCCAAAACGTAGCGGCCGTCGAATATGATTGCTCCTAATGCGTCGGGCGATTGGGGGGTGAGGCTAGGCCGGTGGGGGGAGGGGTTGCGTCGCGCCGTGTTTCTGACCGAGCAGTAAGTCTGGCTTAATCCTATCGGAAACGCGGGCCCCCATTGAAGATCGGGAAGGACTCCATACGGTATCTGATCCGACGATACATCTCGGGATATTTAAAGTTCACAGGCTTTGACAGCGCTTACTTTGAGTCGTTAATCCTAGAGAACACATTAAGGAACTCCAATTCTATCCTTATTAAACAATGTGTTGGTTTAATAGACGTAAGATATTAAATCGTACATTTAGGCTCAACTATTAGATCTGTCTCAAGCAAAATCGTCGAGAATCATCGAAGCAAAACTGGGAACGCTTAGATCTATCCACCGATACTCACCCCCTGTATGGCTCGATTCGAGGCGGCCTGTAGAGGGGGACATTACAAATTAATAGCACAAAGACCGACCGCAGATCGCCGCTGCGAAAATTTACAGGCTCCAGACACTTATAGTGCACTGCAGACGATAAAGGCTGGCTTTACGTGCAAGTAAGGCGCTGTATTTTGGCAGTAGGTTAGCTCACTATAGCTATAATGATAAATTTCTAATAAACATTGTTCTTGGTGCTGGCTCGAGATTAAATTTTAAATAGGCTAAGACGTGTTGGATATACAATATATGTGTTGGTACACCTCTGTAGCTAAGTGGTTAAACGTATTGCCTAGATTTACGTTAAGCGTAAGAGGTCCTGCGTTCGAATCCAGGGGAAACTATACATTGTTTCGGTTGGATAGAGCACAGAAGTCTGATCAACTACTTGCCTGTAAATAAAACCGACCAATGAAACAGCCACAGAAATTCTCCCCATTCCTAAAACATATTGATAAAATAAAAATATAAGTTAACGGTTCTAAATACAAAATACATATGTGACCATATGTATTTTGCATAATATGTATATTATGTGTGTGTTTTTGTGTTTAAAACGTTAAAATTAAAATTGTCATTTTTCTCGTATTTATAGCTACAGCATAGTAAGTGATTTAAAAATAAAACTATCTTATTCTTTCATCTTTGCCTCTTGACATTGTATTGAAACTCTACCATCGATACACATCGATCCACAATAGTGAATTACAACAATTATTTATACGCACAATCATCATGTCATTCTATATGAATAAAATAAACGACACAAAACACGCGGATTGATGCAGTTAAAACAGTCAGATCCACAAAATATGTTTGTATGAAAAGATAATATTGCAACTTTAACAATACTGAGTGTGTGTCTATCGTTGTATCTAAAATGTTAGGGCGTATTCTAGTGTTAGCATGTTTTATTTCTATTCTCGACTAATCAAAATCTATGCAGCCGTATTTTAATATCAAAAACATTGGTACTACAGTTTGATTGCTTTTCCAATCGATTCGAAATACTAAGCGCTCTCTATTTGCGTTTTGTCCTTTACAAAGAACACACACTTTTTGTTTATTGTTATTTATACATTGTATACATGTGCGATGTGTAAGCTTGTGAGTTGATGTAAAAACAATTGAAAGTTTATCGTTAATTTTTGTCTATCTAAATTTTATCGATATGTAATTTAAATTTTATATAGATATGTTGAATAAAACACATTTTTACAGGGCAAAACGGATGTTTGCTAAATCATTTGAATCAGGTCACTGTTGAAATATATTAGGTATTTTAAACCGTTATAAGTGTTTGAAAACTTTAATATTTTTCACTTGTTATTGCACATGCAGGCACTATATGTATAATTTAAAAATTTAAAGTAAATTTTAAAAAATTTCGACTCGGGCAGGATTTGAACCGGCATCGTCAGCGTTCCGTGCTGTTGCTCTACCAAGTCCAGGTCGCTCAATTGGTAAAGTTACTATTGTCAACGGCAAATTGTTACTATTGTTAAATTTTTATCTATTTTAAAATATAAACGTACGTACAAAGAAATCATAAACGGATCAGCATGGTTAAAAGTTGATCGCGATTCGATACTATTTTATCTTTTACAACATGGGTATAAAGTTCAAAATCCTTTGAGCGATAGTAGGTAATCTATCATCTAGGATTTCTTCATTTTACTTAAACATTTCAACGCTTTGCCTCGTGTTCGATATCATTGTGAGGCATTTAACGAACGCCCTCTACAGCGAGCGGACAAATTGCTTCTAAAACAACAAAAGCCGACCGGAAAAATTCACAATCGCACCGAATCATTAATCTCAGAAACAAATGGAAATCGGCCGACATCTGCTATACTGGCCCACGAAAAAAATGGCCGCCATAGTCGACAGTTGTCACGTTATTCTCGACGGGATTAATTAGAAATGCGATTAAAAGCAAACAAAACAGGGAATGGTGAACTTAAATTAATGAAAAATTACCACCCTCCGCGGCACTCGTCAACTCTTTTTTTACAGGGTCGCTCCCGCGCATTAAGCGGCTTTAATTTGAATTCAAAATTAGAATTACGCGCGCTTTCTAATTATGTTTTTTTTTTCGGTCAGCAGCGGTCGATTTTAGGTGTCGTTCATACGAGTTATTCTGTTGTTGCTTTGTCGATATAGATATTGTGTTATTAACTTCCAGTACCTTTGAATGATTTTAAAGCCAACTAAGTATTGAGTAAATAAAAAAATGATTTTAGATTGAAAAAAAATAGACAAAACGGGCAAGACTTGACCCGGCATTCACAGGGTTCTGTTGCTGTAACCAATTGAGCTACCGTGTCCTACACGGCATCGTCAATTTTTTTAAATCTAGGTATAGAACTTATTAAAAACCCTTTGCATTTACACTTAGCTATTCATGAAAATATGCTATTTATATTGTTCAGATATCGTTTGTTAATAAAAAAAAATCAAATCATCATTATAAAATGTATCCTAATTTTTACTGAATGAACACAATGCAATAGATAATCTATTTTAATTCTCGCTTAAGTCAAGTACTTGTTGTTTAAAATAGGGAACTGAAAAATCTATTCGATTTCTCGTGTTGTTTATTTTACGTATGTCGTTTTAATTATACTTTTTAATATTTAATGATTGTGAATTGGTATTATTTAATGAGACATATATTTTTAACAAGACCGTCCGACCGACCGGTTAAGACCGTCGTGATAACCTATATCAAAGGTTTGATTCTGTACTTTTCCATAGTAGTACAAATTTTAATAAAAACTTTATGACGGTTAAATAAAATGTTTCACCCTTTAAATATTTAAAATTGTTTTATTTGAATTTATCAAAGGTTATTTAAACCATACAATTTATACAATACAAGACCTCACGACCTTATCATCATGACTATTTATGAATTTTAAATGCAATTATAAAAACTAAGGCTAAATTATCAACGAAAAGACGTTGATAATTTAGCCTTAGTTTTTGTTTTTACTCATTATAAGTTATTTTGGGACTCGAATTTAACTCGTTAACGCACAGTGTGGTGTAAAATTTCGAAAAAAAATAAGCACGTACTTAAATTCGAAATTTAAAAGAACCGTAATAATGAGGCACGCGTTGTTACGCGTCGCGTTATAATTTTAGAACAATGCTGTTCGTATAAGTGATCGGGAACACCCGCGGAAGGGCAATGATAAGTGCTTTTGTACACCGAGAGCGCGACAAGGGCCCTCCATGTACGCGCCTCGAGGAATCTACGGTTTTTTTTAATGCAAACGTACAAATTATCCAGCCATTAGATATTGCTTTGCTTGTACCTTGAAAGAAATACGTTCTCTTTTTAAACTGATGACATTTCCTGTATAAAAAATGAAAAAACAATTTTAGATGAAAAGAATTGTACGACAGAGACAGGACTTGAGCCAGTATTCACAGTGTTTTAAATTGTTGTTCTAACGAATATTATTTTCAATCTGAAATTGATTTTTAATTTATACAATACCATCATGTGCAATAACATGTAAAAATATATATCAAAGCGTTTATAGAATTCGCTGTAGTAGATGTTTCTACCAAACAAGGTCTGTTTGGTAGAACCATTGCAGTCGTTAATTTTAAAGACTTTTTACTTTTTTCTTTTTTAACTTTTAGTTTCAAAAATCGACCTTTTTCACTATTTATAAGACTCAAATTTGAATATTATCTGAGACTCAATTACATTGACAGCTCACATTCTAACATTCAATTATTGTCATAAAGACATTTTTAGTTTCTCGAGACAAAAAAAATCTTTATTAAGTATTTTTTCTTAATAGACTTATTGTTTTAGATTTATTCTAGACCACAGTCAATATTTTAATATAGAAAATCTTATTACATCCATTAATCTCGCAAGTAATGTCTATGGAAAATTCCTAGATAGCTTCAGACATTAATTTGTTTTCGTAACATAAATAATTAAGTCCTATGTTCTCATAATACGGTAATAGATATTATGGACGTCTAGAATCTATGCTTTGAAGTAACGTATTAATAGTCCAAACAAAAGTTTATGGAGGACATCAACGAACAATTGCGGAATGTAACGGCGTCTGTTATTTGCTATAATGCGTGTTTTACATATGAATTATATTAAATACCTTATAAATATTATATAGCATATAAGACACTAGGTTTTATACGCCACTTTCACACTTGTACATTCTTTCAAAGTCAGTTTTAGGTTTTTCGGGGACTTAAAAATCTTAAGATAATATAACTACTTTGTTAACATACAATTTTAATAAAAACAAATATTTAAATCATTAATAATAATCTTTCGTTTAGATTATCGTATACATATACCGTGGCTAAGCTAGCATGAAAGCAATATGAAGTATGTATTTTTACAAAATTTAATTTCCACAAAAGCGGTTCTTGCGAGTTAATCTTAAAAGATAGACATACTATCGGGGACAATTACTAGATTGTTTAAAAAGAAATAATTCTTTAATA